ACCTGGATTTCACCTGATGGTATGCATAGGAATCAGATCGATTACATCTGTGGAAAGAACCGCTGGAGAAGCTCAATATCAGCTGTGAAAACTAGGCCACATTGGGTAACCAGCCATTAGTGCATTGGGCACATCAGTGTCACAGTGTTCAGCCTCACAGCAACCACAAGTGACCACTATACGGCAACTTGTCCACCAGGGCTATATGACCTAGAGGAATGTCTGAACAAAAACAATGAAAGACAGGCCCGAGGGCACAGATTAAAAGTCACCCACCTTTGGCTTGGTAGCATCGCCTTCTGTCCACTGGGCCAGCTGATCTAACTAATACTAGTATTTATAAATAATCTTTTAAATAACCACCTTAGAATGCTATATATTATGTTTCAATGATATTTCTTGAAAACATTTTTTTTTAACTCCTTGGGATTACTTTCAAAAGTTTGGTTCATATTCATTTTAATAATCTCAGAATATCACATCTCTAGCTTTTATGATGTGTTCTTTTTAAAAACTAGATAATAAGATTATTATGAATTTAGCCTTATGATACTTCATATTTATTTCAAAAAAGCATTTCAGATATATCTTGAATATATCTAAAGTGTGCCTGATTCTGGCCATATTCTTTGCAATTACTTACTATGCATCAGAAAGCTAGACAATGACTAGGGATGACAGAAGGAGAGTTGATGCCTTTGGGTTGTGGTGCTAGAGATATATATTGAATATATCATGGACTACTAGGAGAAAAAACAGATTCGTCGTAGAGATGGTGAGGTTTGTTGATTAATTTTTTTTTATATTAGACTGTGAGTCAATACAGTCTACTTCAAAGATTATTTATATGCTTGACACTAATGAACTCTAATAATTTGGTTTGATTTATAAAATTTTACCTCATAATTTGTCTCCCCTCCTTGCACTATAAAAATCAGCTCTTTTTTACCTTTTTAACGTCATTGATGAAAAGTATAATTTTATCCCAAAACCCATATTTTTTTTTAATTGTATTTGATTCAGCATTCTAAATGCTGTTCTGGGCAAAATGACCTGTACATCTAAGCATAATGGGCTAATTGTCTTTTTGTTTGTAATATAAGTATCATTGATAAAATAGTGACATTTCTTGAGTTTTGATTCAGAAGAGATGGTCATCAAATAATGCAATTGATAGATCCAGGAAGCAATAAGTGAAAATGAAGTGTGTAATTGGAACTTGACTGGGTAGATTTTATTCTTTCAAGTGAATGATTAAATTCTCAATAGTACGAATCATAGGGTCTGAACATTATATTAATTCCTATAGACTTTCTGAGCCATCTCATAATTGGTGTATGACGCTATTCAGCAAAATAAAACTAAGTGATTTTTTTAAATTTATTGATTTTAATAAACAATTACAGATATTTTGGAT